TCATTTAGGTGTCGACCAACAAAAGTTTTTGAGAAAACTGAACTAGATCTTTTATTTTTGAATTCAGCACCGATTAAAAAACTAGAAAAATAGAATCCGATGAACAAAACTTGTCGCGAAAGAGGAACTAAATTTTAGTATTTTTTAATTTGACACGAAAGAAAAGAATGAAAAAAAATTAAAAAACAAAAAAGGTTAGCACCCATCAGAAGGCCAAGGAGCCATCCCAACCCGTGAGGAGTTGAGAACGATCATCCGCCACCACGATCTAAACTAGGACCTGGCTACTAAATCACGCTCTAGCCCCTCAGCTATATTTCATCAACCAGGTGTGGTTTCCTTTCTCATTAGAGTAAAGGATTCGGAGGTACTTCCCTATAGAACAGATCCTGTTCAAGTAAGGTCGTGCTCATTCCGTCTAACCTCAGCTCTTTATTTCGGTCATACAGATCTAAAACGTCCGGTGTGGGCACCTTTCCTCCCCCCAATCAATTAATTAAACATCCTTCTAAAAAGCCATATTCACTTCTGCTCCCATGTTACCCCAAAGCCCGCTCATCCATCATGTGCAATTGCATATTCGATCTCCTCTATGTCATCACATTCCCATATGATATGATTCTACACCTTTTAAATCCCAAACATTTATAATTTTTGTGCTTTTACTATCTATCTACTCCTCCCCCTCTTTCAAATTATTCCTCCTAGTTTAATTTTTGTACTAACTTTGTGTATAAATAATGAGATTAAAAATATTCATTTACTTGCGTTAATATAATTTTGATTTATCAAATTTTTATACATATTGTTTATTTAAAAATATATTTCAATTTTGCCAAAGTTAGCATAAAAACTACGATAAATGATCTGAGACCAAAAATGTTACGAAGATTCCTCTCCCTCTTCGAGTAATAAAGATGACAACCATCTCTGAATTTGTCCATACACAAACGATAATTGTTTGTAAACATTGCATTTGTACGTTCAGATACCACTATCGTGTATGTCGGTACAAACTACATGTTAGTTATGACCATGTTCATTTCATGGCTTTTAGAAGGACTTTCAACAGTTTTGACCAATCAAACAGCCAAAAAGAGCACTTGGCGTTTGAGGTTGGAGGTGGTAGTTTGAGTCTGAAAAGCCAAAATATGAAAATTTGTGGGGAGTAGCATTTCATAATATTCTTTATTTTTCCTTATATGTCATTTACTAACATGGAATATAAATTTTAAGAAAAAATATTCATTTACTTATAATTAAGAGTTAATAAGATTGGATTTGTTTTGTGGTATAATTTTGATGTATCAAATTTTTATAAATTTCATTTATTTAAAACTATATTTAAGTTTTTGCTAAAGTTAGCATAAAAGTCAAACTAATTCAAATAAGTTGAGGAGGTAGACTCTTTAAAAAATGACTGACTTGTTTTTAATCCAGGACCCGACCTGAAAAACATTAGGTGTTGAACAAATGTTTTGTGGATCGAACACGGAATGACCCACAAAAAATGGGTCAAACTCGATCAAGCCCGAATCCCACCCAGTTGACTTGCTAATGTAAAAACTTTCAAACTCATATACTTTTATATAAAATTATAAAAATTAGGTTTTCATACATCCCTAATTGATGTTAGAGTCATGCTAGGGTGCCACAAATGATTGCTACCATGAGTGCACTCATACTTTGCACAGATGATAATCATCTCTGGGGAGTGCATCAACCATTTAGGAGTATCCTAGCATTTTTCTTGAAGTTACACTGTTTTAGAGTGAGAAAGGATAGACATGATCTTTTGTACAAGCTCAACATTTTGGGAAAAAGTAAGTACTCCGTATATTTTAACCATTTACTTTATTTACAACAAAATGCTAAAACAATATTTAGAGTTAGAAGTACTATTTTGTTGTGCTGTTGGCACAAAATTTGAAGTTCAAGGCTGAAGATGAACCTTGGAAAAGTGCAAAACCAATGTTACATACAAACCAGAAATGAATAACGTATGATGTGATAATTTGCCTATTCCAACATTATATATTAATTTCCTATTTTTACTCGACTAAATGAAGTAGAAAAATCATGCACTCTACTTAGGATAGCCAACGAGAGCGTCAATTGCGTTATCAGAGCTATTCGAACATGATAAATTTCATTATTGCTCTTAATAAAAATAATATTATTATTATTATTAATTATTTTTTGTAGTTCTTCGAGAGAGTGGAAAAATTACAAGAGTAGTTTATGGTGGAAAAAGAGCCAAGACTATTGAGTCCACCCAAATAGTCTCTTCATGGACAGGAGACCGATATGAAGCACATGATTTTCTGCACAAGCTAAAGAAAGCAGCTTGGAAATTCAATCAACGGAGGCCTGATCTCAAAGTGTGGCCAGCCATACTAGCTGCCACCAAGAAAACCTTAGCTCGGCGCCATTATGTACATGCCTTTGCGTGTTTCATCATCAGTTTTGAAGCAAGAGTAAGTTTCTTATTCTCTAATTCATTTCAATAAGTGTCCTGAGGGATTACTTCTTTTAAAGAACACCTCAAGACACTTATTGAAGCAACCCCTCAGGTGTTCTCCAAAAGAAGTAACCCTTCAGGACACTTATTGAAATGAATTAGAGAATAAGAATCTTACTCTTGATTCAAAACTGATGATGAAACACGCAAAGCCATGTACATAATGGCGCCGAGCTAAGTTTTTTTTGGTGGCAGCTAGTATGGCTGGCCACACTTTGAGATCTGGCATCCATTGATTGAATTTCCAAGCTGCTTTCTTTAGCTTATGCAGAAAATCATGTGCTTCATATCGGTCCCCTGCCCATGAAGAGAATATATGGGTGGACTCAATAGTCTTGGTTCTTTTTCCACCATAAACTACTCTAGCAATTTTTCTACTCTCTCGAAGAACTACAAAAAAAAATTAATAATAATAATATTATTATTATTATTATTAAGAGCAATAATGAAATATATCATGTTCGAATAGCTTTGATAACGCAATTGACGCAATAATGAAATACTTTTGTCCATCCTGTTAATGAGCACTTGCACGTACAAGCGAAAGATGTGACACCTTACTTGTCAGAGAATAATATTATAGCTCAATTTATCTCGTATCCGATTCGAGTGATCTTGGGAGACTTTAGTAATGAGATCCAATTTACCAAAGAGAGAGAGTCAACAAGCCTTCTTTATAGAGGTCTTGAACAAGAGTACATGTAGCTTCTGGTCCATTGAGAAATATATGAACCCACCTGTAGAATGTGTCACAAAAGACCCAAAACTGTTCCCCACTATACAATGCCATGCTGCTCCATATACTCCATCAAATTCCTGCAATTCCCCCATCATTTTGTTTGCACTTAATCAATCCATCAAAATCATTCACCCTTTAAATGGAACAAATGATTATTGTGGGAGGGAGTAGTATGTTCCCATCCTTCTACTTTTTAAAAAATGGCCTTACCACTGTTTTTTACATCACCACCAAAACAAATACTCAAAATTCAAAACTTCTGAACAATTGTCTTGAGAATAACACCAATCAACCATACACGTCAAATAAAACTTCTGTTTGAACGGATATTTTAAACCAGTTTCTAAAGAAACATTGAGTTGACATAAACTTCTAGAGCAGTTGAGACTCGAGAGTCGAGAGGGTGTTCTTCAACGAAGTACTTTATTTTAATACTCCTTTTATTCCAAAACACTCATTTTTTCCGGTACGACCATCAACTAAATAAAAACTACCTTACATGTCATTATAAAAATCGATCCGGTTCATGTGACATTGCTCACCAATTTATGCTATAACATGGGCTTCGGGGCCCCTACAGTGCTCTATTTGAAAAATTGATTGTTTTTACCCCTGCATCTTTAGCCCTCCCTCTCTTTGCTGATTGGCAAGCTTTTGATTGTGGTTCAAGAAAGATTTTTTGTTTCTAACGTGTCATCTCACGTGCAAGCGTAGTTTTTCAAGTCTTGCACGTGAAACCTTAACTTTTTTTAGAACGATTGGCTTTGAGTTTCAAGACTCATGACCTCTTAGTCAACTAGGCTCTAATATCATGTTAAATAACTAATTCAACCAAAAGATAAAAAGTTAATTTCATTTTAGGGATTTTTAGGCGAGATATGAAGGGCGAATGGTGGAGCTTTAATGGATAGATTACCTTCTTGAGGGTGAGAGCGAGGGCCTTGGGACTGAACTTCTCCAAGCTATCATGGACCTTCCTCGCGAAATTCACGGCGTGGATCTGCATAAACGGAGCCATATCCACCGCTACAACCTTCACGCCGCTGCAATTGAACACATCTTCCAGCAGCTGATCCGCCCTCACAGAGCTGCAAAACGACCTTCTCCTACCTCCGCCGCTGCCGACCGACAGGGAATCCGAACTCGCTCTCGGGCCGGATTTGCATCCGCCGCCGCGGTGGCTCTTCGACTTGGTCAGAGCTGAGCAGGCGGAGTCTAGGTCGGCTGCAGAGATGGATCTGAGCACGGCCGGAGTGGCGCGGACTGCTGCGGATGCGGCGGCGGGGATAGTTGGATCCGGCGGTGCTTCGTGGCAGCGGAGGACGGCGGCGGAGGAATTCTGTTGGCGCATTATACGGATGGTGAGCGCCGGATCCAGAAACGCTGCTAAATTGGGCCTTCGATTCGCAGCCTGTGCCATGTTTTACTTGGGGGATATGAAACTTTGATGGCTCGAAGTCTGGAACAACGAAACAGTAGGACTTCCATTTTAAATGGAAAAGTGGAGAAGGTTTGAATTTTGAATTCTTAGCCTCCCTTACTCCCAAATTTGTTTATTATTCAAATAGTTAAATTTTATTTTTTATTTTCAATATTAATTTGATGAAATGATTTGAAAGTATATTCAGTCAAACATACTAAAGTGAAATAGACGATTTAAATTAGAGAGAAAGATCAAAATAGAACTTTCATGTTTTTTTCTCGAAATAGGACTTACATTACCAAACATGGTCATATACATTACCAAAAGATATAGTAATGTGCACATGTACACTGTCACATTACCACAGTGCAAAGTCACATTACCACAGTGCAAAATCCTATTTCGAGAAAAAAACATGAAAATCTTGTTTTGATACTTCTCTCTATGTTTTAGTTCTATTTAAGGTGAACGAAGAGAGTAAGGGCATCGCTAACCGAGAGAAGTGAAGGAAGGAATAAGATGATATGGAAGGGAAAAGAAGATCCAAATAATACTCCTCCCTCCTATGCAATTTATTACTCCTGATAGAAATTATTTTCTTTTAATATCATACATTCTATCATAATGTAATTTTGTTTATATTTTTTTTGAATATAATGATGTACCATGAACTAATGTCTCTATTTCTGGTGGAAATTAAATATGGATGTGTTTTTCCATAAATTTTGGAGAGTCAATTTTTGTCATGACTTCTTTAGATAAGAAAATTTGTGCTAAATATATTTAAAAATTATAATCAAATTTTTACAAAATAAGATATGCAAATATAAAACATTATATATTATTGACCGTCCAATCAGTTTTGAAGGGTGTATGGGATGGAGTTCATGCTTTGAAATCAAAAATACTCCGGAGTATTATTCATTGGTCATTTTATTTCTTTCTTGATTTATGTTTGTTAATCATTTATTAGAATAATATAGCCATATCATATTTTGTTTCAAGAAATTTTGATGTAATTTTAAATATATAAATTTAATTTAAAAATTCACATCATTATTTAAATAAATCAAATTTTATACAAATTCAATCAACTATCATATTTTGTTTTCGAACTTTACTTCTACTTTTTCATAGTTACATAATCAATATTTATATGATATCATTGTGCACATTGATTTAATTTATTTTTTATCAGAGATAAAATTTGTGAGCCCCTTGTTTCCTTTTTGGTAGAAAAAAATAAAATCAGATAATTTACTCCGAAATTTTAACATAAATTTTTTATTTTAATTTTAAAAATCTTTATCTCAATAAAAAAATGAATGCACTTCATTAGAAAAATGAAAATTGTGTTTGAAATATGAAAGAAAGGGAAAGGGGCTCATGCAAAATTAATGTGAAAGTAATTCAATATAAAGGCAAAATGGCATTTTAATTAAAATAATGTAGGCAAAGAGGAGTTGTGTTCGTTGCATTTTGAATTTTTGGGAGCTATAACGTTTGACTGCATGTGCTGCCACGATACGACAAAGAGCCAATGGCAGACCTCATGCATGAAAGAATATTTTTGTCAAAATGTTTTTTTAAAAAAAAAAATTTCCCATCATATTTTTCAGAAAATATTTTTTTCTCCCTCCCTGTCAAATTAATTTAATTTGCTTCCCTTAAATATTAATTTTCTTGTTTTTATTTTACAGAAATTTAAAAGGTTTTGAAAAAATACTGAACACGGAGTATACTCCCTCCGTTCCTAAATGATTGTCATAGTTTCATTTTTTAGTCAAACTATGGCGCCCTTTGATCACAAATTAGATATAGTTTAAAATAATTAAATATTATAAAAAATTGATATTTTAAAACTATATTTTAAAACAAACCTAATTTTACTAAAATTGCGTTATAACTAAATATAACTTTTCCATAATTCATGGTCAAAGAATGTCATAGTTTGATTAAAAGAATTAAAATATGACAATCTTTTAAGGACGGAAGGAGTAGTAAAAGAGGTGCAAGACAAGTATTTTGGATCATATATTCAATTTATAAAAAAATACGGAGTTTAGAAATGAATTTCTTGAAATTTAGTGGGCGGGGTTGTCCAGAAAAAAATAACCAAGTACTCCCTAATTTGTACAAAAAATAGAAAATGTTTATAGGGAGTAGTCAATCTCAGATTCTCAGGATAGTTAGTGTCACCTCAAATTGAGTGAGTGTGAATATATAGTTATTTTAAAATGACATTGACATTGGTGATCATATTCGCAGATCAGAGTCTAAATTTATCCTACTAATTTTTTATTAAAATTTAATTTATTTTTTCTTAATAACTGTTCGATCTAGTCTGGGGCCCTCGTAGATATGTCTCATCCTTTTAAAAAAAAATCATACATTAATTCCTTTCTCACCTTTTTGGGGTATCCAAAAGTTTATTTCCATTTCCTATTTTGGCAAAAAAGTTTTAATGAATGTGTCATTACACTTATACTTTTTGTGTACATTATTCATTTTATTCTATCACATCTAAAACTAACGTAGAAAGTCTTTACACTTTTTAACTTTTCTTAATCTCCGTGTCAAATCAAACGTGAAAGAAATTTTTGGACAGAGAGAGTATAATATTAATTGTATATTCGCAGTGTACAAGTTAAACAAAACTCATTCCGCCCCAGAGTGTTTGTCCACTTTTAACTTTTTTTGTTAAATTTGGTAAACTTTAACCTCAAATTAAATAAAAATGATATTAGATACTGATACAAAATTAGTTTTATTTGATTTATTGTACCATATATTTTTAAAATAGTGTTTTATACTTTTATGTAATAAATATACAATATATATTTTAATTAACTATAGGTCAAATATTAAAAATAATTGATCGGGAAAGTTAAAACTGGAAAAATACTCAAGGACGGAGGTAGTATTTATTTTATATTTCTTTCAAACGTATATATTTAGAACATGCACATTATGAAATTGATGTATACAAGTTTTAAAAGTGCACAATGTTCATTTCAATGCTAAAACAATTTTATTTTTGTTAAAAATACTTTTAATCAATTAAAAATAAAAATAAAATTTTGAAAATAAAATTACAAAAATTTCACATTTTACTTTTTGAATGCCTACTCAAAACGTGCACGTTATCAAAAAATGCTAGAAATCCATCATTGTTGACACCACAAATAATAATCATTTGTGAATTTGTACACACACAACCAGAGAGGTGATAATCGACTGTGGACGTTGTGTGTTTACAATTGGGTTGGCCTCGAGGATTCGAGGGCTCTCGACGAGATGAAAAAATCGGTTTTATTCCTAACAAGTTAAATTATATAAAGTATTTTCTTGAAACCAACAATTAATATTATAGTAATACACATAAGAAAAATTATAGTATTATAATTAAATATCGTAAAAGTTACCTTAAAAATTAAGTTTTTAAATTTTTATTAAGAATATATGATATATATTAAAAATTTAAAAAAGACTAGACCCCTAATAAAAAATGACCTTGAGACAGTAGGGCATCTTAGTCCACCATTAGGCCACGCCTGATTTACAAATTCACAGACAGTTAAATGTATGGTACAACTATGATGTCTCTCGCATGACTTGGTCATTTTAGAATAATAGAATTAGCTTGTATACACACTTTTTTTTACTCTCTCCGTCCCAAATTATAATGCATATTTACTATTTACATGGTCAAACTTCATTAATTTTCTTTCTCTATTTTCGTTACCAATTTGATAAAATAAAATATTATTGTCATTACTAGTTTTGTAGATCTTTTGATTTAGTTTTTTAATATGTAATTTTTATTTTTTAATTCTATACCATTCGTAAACCGAAACAGGCGTTGTAAAATAGGACGGAGGTAGTAAAAAAAGAGTGTGTGTGTGTGTGTGTGTGTGTGTGTATATATATAGAATCTATAACCACAATAACCCTCCCATGATTAAAGAACGTGCCTTACACTCCTACCCAGCTAGCTAGCTACATGTCCTCATAAATAAAAAAAAAGGATGAATCCAATTACTTCAACACCAACCTAGACAACAATCTTAAATGAGATAAATTGAGTTTTAATATTAGACTCATAAATAAAAAATGGCGTTTATTTTAAATACGTGCAAAGATCTCTTGCATGCTACCCGTGACTATCATTGTCAATCGTACTCTCACATTAATTTTTTCCTTCTGCAACTCTCGTTGACCAACTAAATTACGCCTCTGAAACCATGCCCTCTCTAATAGAATACAAAGTGTGTACTCCTTCGGTCTATAAAAGATTTGCGTTACAGGTTATGACGTACGATTGTAGTTATTGTTTTTTTAAAAATTGATTGGAGTTATTTTTAGTTAAAATTATTTTGAAATTTGCGTTAAATTAAAAAGAAGAGAATATATATTATCTAATCTAAACGAGTTTAGATAAAATTGTACACGTGCTTGTCAAGAGAACATTTTTATATCATCTAAACCAAAATTATGTCACCGTTAAAAATTTTGATCTTAGAGAAACTAGGTTCAACCTTTTTTTTTACTGTAAAAAAAGGTTCAACCTTTTTTATTGATGAGGACATACCCTAGTTTTATAATGTACAATGCATTATGTGTGCAAAAATTGTGCACTATTATACAAATCCATTTTAATTTTATAATGTACAATGCATTATGTGTGCAATTGTGCACTATTATACAAATCCATTTTCAAGATCTCATTTTTTTTAATCTTTTCATAGATTGGAAGTGTTTTTAGCAACAAATTGAAAAGTTTTTTTAATAATGAAATGGGCATCGTACAATAATTAATCGCATAATGTGTATGCTTTAAGTATGTGCAATATAAATAATGTACACTTCTACAACTATAAAATATGTATACATCAATTTTATAATGTGTATCCTCTAAGTGCAAATAAATAAATGTGCAAAATGAGCATGGCATAATTTGTAAATGTGCATATGCCGGGTATACGATAAACGTCGTACTTCGAGATGTATAATATAGGATCTCAATCGAGTGACCATACCGAAGGGCATAATGCATTGAAGAAAAGGGCAAAATCGCCAATGGGCCAAAAGGGTTACCTTTCCGAATGCCGAAGGAAGCTTTTAGTCATTCAAATCCGCACATCTCCACCAACGAGTCCCAAAAGGAAACCCTCTCAGGGCATGCATTAATCAACAAAGGCTTCAGCCCGCTCACTCTTAACTTCCCCTGAAACTCAACTCCCAAGGGCTGCACCAGTATTTGCTAAAAGGCAAAAATAATGAACTTTTACAAAATCAAACAACTCAGTGAAATCCCAAAAGAACAAAGACATCATCCACTACTTGGTAGTTGGTAGTAGAGAGGTCGTTTCCAAGAGAACCCCTGCTTAGGAAGGTAGAGTCTCGGAGGTCGAACATGCCCAGTGAATCCAGGTCATAGATAGGATCTTGGAAGTCAAGATGTTCATGGGCTTTGCCCCTACCCCAAGCAAAGAGTCTCTTTCTGGGATGATCACAACCAACAATGACATGTAGTGTGCTATTGTGGGCAGGGGTGGATCCAATGGGGAGGTCGGGGGTAACCGGGTCCTTATATTTTTGGTCAAAATGCCCAAACAACGTCGTTTTGAGACACATTTTTTAAATTCAAAATTCCAATGTAGTTGAATTCAAGCGTGAATCTTGGTGTATTTGTCTCTATTAATGTTAAAAGAGTCATTTATTGAATCTTCATTGTTAATGAAGCTAAAAGAGTCATCTTTTTACAGTATTTTAGCTTCGGGTAAATAATGGACAAGATCAGAATGGCAAATTTAAGTTCCTTTAACTTTTATGAAGTTTTGGGAAGTAAATGCATCAAGGGTATACTGGAAACATCTTCTCTCTTTTTACAGTGATACAGTTGCGTACATCTTGACCCTCAGATCCCAACGGAGTTGAAATTTTACTAGATTGGTTGTTGGTGCTATGTAGTGTTTGATTATGTCAACTTTTAACACGGATTGCTAAATTTCTTCATTTTGGTTTTGGATTAAAACTAGCGTCTTGAGGTGTTCATTACTTTTTGAAATAAAAATTGGAGTTTTTTCATTTTAATTACTTGAATGGTTGTTCGAGATGGAATTGATGAGTAAATTGTGGACCACGTGATAAGAAATTACCTTGTTGAGCCACAAAATATAAGTAGCAGCAAATGTTGCCTGTGCTTGGTAATCTTCAAAGTTGAGATCAGTTATTGTTGCACATGAATTGAATAGTTGTAACTCATTATCCACGAACCTATGAATATCACATGTAGCAGCACTAGCAGCAAAATACTTTACCCAACACGATGCAAGAAAGCGGCGGTGAAGCCACAATGCCTGGAAATTTGATATCGTCTTGAGCTTGAGATTAAAACGAGCATGTAGCTCAAACAATGGCACTAAGCATAACAATGTGCAAATTGATACTTTTTTGAGTCTATCAAACACCTATAAACTACAGGGGGATTTATATACTCCACATTAATATTAGACCTAGGAAGAGTTGGACAGGGCTTACCACTTTAGGAACTTATTGAGGATATGGCCTTACATCAGAACGACGGAGAGCTAGGATTAGAGTAGTTGAGTAAACCTTTTGTGCCGTAGTTTGTAGTTTATGCTGGTGTTGCCTAAGTCTGTAGCTTAGGCATGAATGCTTCTGTGTTGTGGGTCTAGAGTTAGGCTCTCTTGGAAACAGACTCTCTACTTTCAAGTAGGGGTAAGGTCTACATATACACACTCTCCTCGGACCCTACTTTTTGTGGGATTTCACTGTGTATGTTGCTGTTATTGTTAGTATGTCAGAAACTTAAGAATTTCAATGTGATTTTCTATGACTTATATAGGTGACAATTAGCGAATGAAGCACGAGCCGACTAATGAGGAGAAATTTACTCATACCGGACTCAAATTCAATCGACACAATGTTAGAACAAGTAATAGCCCTAATACTACATTGATGAGCTATTGATCTAGCTAACTAGCTAAGATTTCAAAGTATAGGTAGTGATGATAGTATACCTCTCTACCCACATAAAGCTTTATCAATTTCTCAACCCAGTCAAGCTCCTCCTGACAATAATTTCAAAATTCCCAAGTTAAAAAAAATAATACAATTTTGGGTGGAAAAATACAATAAAATTTCAAGGGAAGTAAGGCAACAATGTCTAATGAGAACAAAAAATGACACTTTTTTTCTTCTTTTGCTAGTCTTCTTAATTTTTTTCTGTATTTTTAGTTCTTTTGTTTTTTCTATATAGAATATCAGATGATATTAGAAAATTCTTTAATCTTTTGGAGCTCCAGGTACCTTCCACAAGACATCAAGTTCTTCACCACAGTATCCATTTTGATCCTTTCCAAGGAAAGCTTCTAATATCCTTAGCATTATGCACTGCCAGTTTAAAAATAAATAAAGACAAATATGTTACTGGGTAATAAATATATCGAACATTTTGAGCTATGAATGAGAGGCTTGAGGTAGCGAGGGTAGGTAGGGGTAATATACACCTAGGAAGAGTTGGATAGAGGTGATTAGACATAAGTTACGACTTCGCAATCTCACCAAGGATATGACCTTGGATAAGAATGTCTGGAGATCTAGGATCGGGGTAGTTGGGTAGACCTGGGAGTCTTAGGATGTATTTCTTGGTTGATGTGTTTTTATTCTTTCGGTTGTAGCTTCTGCTTGTGTGTTTGTACTTGAGTTAGGAGGAAAAATCTTATGCGTAGAACATTTTAGATGACGCTTATGGTGGTTGCATATAATCAGTGCTTCCGGTGCGAAGCAGGAGCAATATAAAAAGTCAATAAATATATATAACTACAGATGCCATAGTGAATAATCATTATGTAAGACTCACAGCACGATAATGAAAGCAGGAGTTATCAGCAACATGAAGTCCAGCCCATTCTCGTGACTTGTTCAACTCACCAAACATCTTGAGAGAGACAAAAAAAGAAGTATGACACACTTAAGAATAATGTTAACACACAGCTGCTCCTTTTTTTCAGAAACAAGTGTTCCAATTCAATTTAGAAGCTCCTGTTATACAAATATTACCTTTTTAAGGTTAAACATGTTTAGCATCCGCGCAAATAGAGCGGGGTTTTTTTTGTTTCAGGTCCCTGATTTTTTTGCATTCATCCCTATAATCTACGACATTTTCTTGTTAGTCCCTCTCTGTCAACCATCATTATAAAAACTGGAATTATCACCAACTTTTTGTATTGGGGGAAAGAGCGTTAAGCTAACATTCTGACTTCTAGTCTATATGCCTCAATGGAAGTAATATACTCTGTATTAAACTGCCAGGTCAGTTTTTTTAAGAACTGAGGTTGACAAAGATGATAAAAAGAAAAGGTGTAAAATTCAGGGAGGAATAGCGGGAAAAAAAACTACAAGAACCTAAAAGAAAAAATGTTGTATATGCGAAGATGAAAAACACATTAAAGTATGTTCTTAGAGCCAAATTTGATCTGCTACTTTCCAATAAGTAATGATGGATGTTAAATCCACGAGAATATTCACAATAACTCACAATACTAAACTGGGTCCTCTTACCAAGCATGTGGGCTTCAATGGAATGGGCCTAAATACAATTTTAATTATAGAATGGATAGAGTAAATTTGGCCTAACTTAACTATACAAACTTGGGTCGGCCCCAATATACCCATCAAGTTAAAATGTGATTGAACAAAGTAAGGAGTGTGTTTTCAGGCACAAGTGCATCAACACTTCACTTACTTGTCCTATTGACATGTAGGATACTAACCAGCAACAGTGATTCCATGCACGAAAGTTCATTTTTGACCTCTGAAATAAAAGACAATAAGAGTTACTAGGCATTTAAATTTCCACAGAAAAATGTGAAGTAATTAGACCAAAATATGCATTTAAGTGCCCCCAGTTTATATCCAACAGAAAACCTCGGCTAGCTTTTTCACATGCTCTGATTCTTTGTTCACTATCTCTTCAAAATTAGAACACTTTCCAGCAATCATCTTGATCACCCATCTCCTGCCATTACTTGGCATTAATAAGATTCATATCATAAATTGGAAATTTAGAATATAAGCCATAAGGGCAGAAGTCCACATGGTATTTACATGTGAACCAACCAAACAGCATATGTAAACAACTACTCTAATTGCCAAACACGGCCTAATATGATCACTATCTTCCTACCCTTTCAAATGATACAATTTGCATGCAAATATTAAGAAGTCATCAATTGGCCTCACAAAGATTTGAAGCAGTATGTTACCTTTGACTCCATGCTTGTTCACTTTTAGGTGAATATGAGAGAACCAGATCAGAAAAATCTAGTTCTTTCATGAACAATGAATGCTCTTGCCGGCGTGAAACAAGTAGCTTCCTGCAAGTTAGGAACTTCATAGAGTCAAGAGCTTCTGATGGATGGATGAAATAAGGGAGAAATAAAAGAAAAAAAAGGTAAATTTTGGGCGCAAATTTCCCTTCAAAAGCAGGGCACAATATAAGAAAGACAGCATATAATTACATAAAAAGGATACACGAAAATCAATCTTCCATTCATAAATCATAACAGTGTAGTATGTGAGAGATGTTAGATGACGAAATCTCTGCCATGAGAACACTTATAAGATTGACATTATATTCAACTATGCAATGTTCAATTTGTTAAAGGAATATTTTCTTGGAACACTAATCTGATCGAGAAAGCCTTTTCAAAGAAAGTGTTTTTTTAGTGTGTCTGGCACCGGATGGAAAGTATCTTCCTTGATTCTTTAGACTTTTGTGGAACATATTGATGTTTTCTGTTTTGTGGGTCAAATACTAAATTACACGCAGAAGAACTAGATTTCAAGAAAAAACATTCCTAGAAACCATTATACTCGGAAAACATTTTCACAAGTTGCTTTTTTTGGAAACAACTGTAGCCTAGAATCCCTAGGTTTCTGAAATTTAACTTCTCTAGAAGGTTTTGCATGACTTCAACGTTCAATATTTTAATGAGAGAGTGTAAACAAGAAAGAGACAACACTGACATTTTTAAAGCAATCACACACAAAGAGCCTAACCTGAAATTCCATGCGGTGCCAAAATCACAACTGATTAGCAAAATTGATGTGCTATGTTTCATAACTTCATTCTCAAGAGCAATAAGAGAAGATGATGATGCATTACCCTCATTATATTCATCTTTATCTTTGGTCACACCAGTATGCATTCTATACTGTCCCAGAGAATCCATGAATGCATGTTTGGCTGCTTTGTACAGTGGATGAAGAGCTGTGATTGAGATCCCCAACTTGTGTTCCTGGCTCCAGAAAACCTCACTAGAAATATTAGTTTTGTCTGTTGATTGAGGCACAGAATCGGGCGAAAAGGAAGTACCGCTTTCTTCATTCAGTGCATCAAATTGAGATTGATGAATAAAGCCAATCTCATCACTGGATACAAGAGAAAATTAAGGGTGGGGGTGAGTTTCAGTAAGTGAAAAGACATGGCAAAAATACTTCTGTTAGAATGCATATGATACAAACTAAGGGACGGAGTCCATAAGTTATTTAATTTCTCTTAAACATGCGGCATGGTTTTTGGCGTGAGAAAGGCCTGAAAAACAATGTTGCACGGATTCTACAGACAAGTGCCGCATCCCATCCCCAAAACGTCTCCTCTTGGCTTCTTGGGGATGCCCCCGAAACCCAAATTCTTATTAAATTTTGGAAAAGTTGATGTTTCCATGTACCCAATTCCATAAGAGTACCCGTCCCGGTTTTCGTGCAACTTAGCTGAAAAAAACCCACCTGTGATTCACAAATCTAACCAATTACTAATATCACGCCATGTATAGCATGTCTATAAGTCTATTGAAAATATCCGCCTATGAACCGCAAATCTGGCAATGGTTCGATGATAGCTCTCAATCCTTGTGACACTTCAAACTTTGCACACATAGATAAAATCAAAGCAATGGACATTTAAGCAAATATAATTGGAATCCTAAAGATTCCAGGAACCATCGATATAAATTCTCCAAAGCAGATCCCAAATTCATTTACAACTCTAAACTCTTCTTTCACAAGAAAAAGCTTCAAGTTTTGCACAAAGACTAGTTCTTACAGCTTACATCAATGGGTCTGATTCTAATATGAGCTCCAGTTGCTTCAATAGCTTCCATGAATCACTTTCTCCCATGGGTTTGAAACCCACCCGCAGCCAATGCCTGTGAATGCAATGATGCACGGCCCTTGAAGCAGTCACGCAGTAGATGAATCAAATGTAAGTGTGAGATAGCATTTTTAAATGTAGATGAATTATAAATTTAACAAAAAATAAAATTACAAATTTTAAAAAAAAATTGAAGTATGATGAAGTATTGTCTATTGATGGTGGTGCGGGAATTGAAAAAAATGGTCAAAAAATCGGAAAGAAGTGATGAAAAGAACAATGATTTGACATTTTTGAATTCAACTTTAAAAAAAAAAGAATTACAAAGTTAGTGAAAAAGATGAAGATGAAAGAATAGATATTAATGAAGATGAAGATGAAAGAATATAACAAGAGAGGAGGTGAAAGAAGATGGGGCATATATTTTACCAAGTGGAGATGAGGAAGAGAACGAAGAAGATGCAAAAGCTATTGTTACGTTTGAGATTTTTTCCTTAGAGCACCCACATTGGATTTTTTCCTTAAATGGAGGATTACCCAATTGTAATTCATTAATAAAATTTAAAAAGTTAATTAAATTTATCTCAACAAAAAATACATAATTTAATTATGCTAAAATATTTTTAAAAAATTGTTTATAGATTAACACTAAGAATGACTGAATATTAAAGATATCCACATATTTATTTCCCTAAAAAAGAAAGTGAAAAAAAATATACAAAATTAAATTTCTAGTTTAGAAAAATAAAAAGTTCATTTATAAAAAAATCATTATAAATGTTTTTTCTAGTTTATACCGAAGTACCTTGGCAAATTATATGGTACATTTAGCTGTATCTTCCTTTAGGTACATCTTGGTATTTTTGTAAATTTTGCAAACTTTTTATCTAATGTCAAGAACATATATGAGAACTATTATACTCCCTTCGTTCTCAAAAACACTTCCTCTTTTATTTTTTCCACTTCCAACAAAACAGTTCCCCTTTCTATTAAAAAACTACTTTTACCCTTACTTTTTCCTACCCTACCTATCACATCATACTTTTCTCTAATAATCTATCCATCACATCTTACTTTTACTCATCACATCAGGGGCAAAATTGGAAATCAGCTATAATTTAACACTTCTTTATTTTTGCCCCCAAATCAAATGGAAATGGTTTTTCCAAACGGAGGGAGTATATGACAACGAATACCAACAAATTTGAGAAAAAGTACCAGCACTTATGAGAATTATCACATTTTTATTCAATACAAACATGAATAAACCTGGGTTTTAAATTCTTCATGCTCAGAGAGTATAAATGAGTAGGACCGAGTCGAATAAAGGGAGAGGTTGATAATGGTACTGAACTTTTTAATTGTGAAAAAATTGACAATACTTTATTTCAGAATGAGCATTTCCTTATTTGAGAATGAGTATTGTTTTTTTAAAAATGAACAATACGCTACTTATTACGGAGTATAATTATATTAGACAAATGTGTAAAAATGAGTACTTCTTTATTTTAAAATGAGAATTACCTTTGTCAGAATGAGTACTACGTATTTCGAAATGAATGTTTATATTTGTACGAGAATGAGTACTACTTTATTTCAGATTGAGTACTACTGGGATGTACCTATTTCTAGGTACATCCGGATGTACGATATACCAACTCAAGTACCTTGGAGTAGAAAACAAAACAAAAAGAGCAATGCTAGATTCACAAACAGAATTGTCACAGACTTAACAAACTTACTATTTATGGTTTAAATTTTCATTTTAAATTTTTGTACACTATTTAATTTTTTTAAATAAAAATTCACATATAATAAGTTTGTGAAATTTGTGACCATTGTGTTTGTGAACCAAGCATTTCTCAAACAAAAAATTGGAATTGTTGCCACATGTCAAGCAACTATTTGTTTCTTTGGCTCTTTTTCTTCTACTTCTCCGCGGAGAAGCTCTTCTCCTTCTCTCTCTTGGAAACGGTGCAGGAGGAGTACCTCTCCATCTCCTCCTCCTTCGGATGCAGCTTCTACTCCACGAGAACTCCTTCTCCTTCTCTCTCTTGTTTTGAATTAGTATATATGTATTTTGCTTTTACATTACACACGAAAGTAGAAAAAGCAAGTTCATTCATTTTGACAATGAAATATGTTTATTTGGTTATGTGATACTCCCTTAAATTATTTGTTTATTATTCTAAAACTTTATTCATTTTCTTTTTATTTTTCATTAGACATTTGAAAAAATAATATAATCATGTCACCGATAGTTTTATAACTCTTTTGGTGTAGTTTTTAAATATATAAATTTATTTTTTAATTCTACATCATTTTTTATATAAAACATATCTGAAAATAACTTCAGTCAAACATTAAAAATTGAAACAGATGATTTAAGTTGGGGTGTAGTGAGTAATATTTATTACTCCATCCGTCCCAAAATATTTGTCACACTTTCTTTTTTAGCAGTCGCGGGAACTTTTATTTATTTCTACTTTTTCATTGATTATTTGATGAAATAAAATATTCTTGACACCTCTTATTTCGAAGAACTTTTCATGTAATTTTTTATTTGTAAATTTTATTTTTTATTTCTATATCAATATGTAAATAAAATAAATTGAAAAAATTTGATATTTTGTCTCAAAAATACAAGTGTGACAAATATTTAGGGAGGAGGGAGTAAATTCCATAATTGATCCTTTATAACAGGAGGGTTTCCATATTTAGTCCTTTATTATCAAATATTACCCCGTAATCCTTTTTTGAAGGGTGCCTTTCCACAAATGGTTTTTTTTTGATCTTCTGTCATGTTGGTATTAATTTAAAGTCTAAAAGTATAATTCGACATCAACATTATGTCTAGTGACGTATTCTGATGTTAGTTAAGCGGATAACACAAAAATAATGACTATGATTGTGGGCTAGAATTCCGATGAAAGACCACATTTGTAGACTATGGTTGTAGTAGAAAGCGACTGTAATTCACAAACGATGGAAATGGAACACCCTTTGGAATTCTGTATTACAAAAAAGATATATTATCATTGTGAAATTATACTTTTAGCCCTCAAATTAACACCAACATGATAGAAGATCAAAAAAAGGACTATTTGTGGAAAGATACTCATAAAAGAAGGATCACTTGGGTAATATTTGATAATAGATGACTAAATAGGGAAACCTCCCTATTATAAAGGACCAGTTATAGAAGTTACTCTCATTTGTAGTTCATTTTTTTTGTAATTTAATTTTGTAATCAAAATAGAGAGAGGGGAGTACTATTTCTATCATCATTGCAATGGGATGTTAGGAACTTGGTCTCATCTTCTTTTCTTTTTTTAATGGAATTAGGAAAATGCTAGGGTGCCACCACATGGGTGCTACTATGGGTGCACCCATGCTTCGCACAGACAAACACAGACGATAATTGTCTGTGTCGCACAGACAATTATCGTCTGTGTTTGTCTGTGCGAAACATGGGTGCATCCATGGTAGTACCTATGTGATGGCACTCTAGCATGGTCCCATGTGGTGGCACCTCATGGAATTAATGTAGTTGAAGAATGGAGGTGACGCGTGTCATCTTATCAGCACAGCAACTGTCGTGCATGCACTTCTCCTATCCCATTCCACCCAAACCTCATCTCTTATCCCCCAAAACTCTCTTTCAATTTCTTCATTCTTTTGGTGGAATGATTAAAATTATTTTCAAATCATTTTATATGAAAAATAGTGTAAAATTTAAAAATAAAAATTACATATTAAAAAGACTATATCAAAAGATCTACAAAACTAGAGGTGATATAACTATATTATTTTATCAAATAGGTAATGAAAATAGGCTAACTGAACGAGAAATTTATTTGTGGACGGAGGCATATTATATATTTTGATTGTTCATCAGTACATTCTTGTCATTCATTAGCTAGCTAGCTTCTTTTTCTGTCAGATTATGTTTCACAATACTAATAAACTAAACATTGTTATTGTGGAAGAAGATGATGGAAGACAATCATAATAATAAGATTGTTAGTAATGTTTTTGAGAGCAGGGGAAGGAAGAGATTGATTATTAGATGGTTGTTGGAGAGGGGAGTGATGAGACTGGGAAGGAATGTTATAATGAGTGCTGCGGTCGTCTCATCTGCGCCGTTGGTTCTCCCTCCGCTCTTGGCCATTTCCGCCGTGGGATTTGTGGTGTGGGTCCCAGCTGGTGTTGTGGTTGCTGGGTATGCTGCTGTTGAGAAGCTCATGGCCACCCTGCTGCCACTTCCCCAACTCCCTTCTTCTTCTTCTACACCTCATGATGATGATGATGGTGGTGGTGAGAAAGATTTTGGTGAAGAGGGAGATGAAGAGGGTTTTGCCACTGATGAGAATTTGACAGAGGGAGTTGGTGAATATTTGAAGAGAGATGATGGAGGGGGCAAAGATGTCATTGGTGAATATGGGAATTTGGAGGAGAAAGGTTGTGAGGATGATGGTGGGAAATGGTTGGAGGGGGAATGTGAGGAGGGCAAAGATGTAACTTATGAATATGGGAATTTGGAGGATAAATGCTATGAAGATGATGGTGAGAAATGGTTGGGGGGAGAGTGTGAGGAGGGCAAAGATGTCACTTATGAATATGGGAATTTGGAGGAGAAAGGCTATGAAGATGATGGTGAGAAATGCATCCAAGGAGAAGAAGGCGAAGCCATGGAGATCACAACTTGTGTAAATTTGGAAGAGGAATACAATGTGGAGGACATTAGCAAGAGCTTGGAGGAGGGAGGACACGCGGAGGACAAATATTTGAATTTGGAGGGTGCCGGCGAATGCTTGGAGGGAGGAGAGCAATGGGGCTTTGAAGAAGACGGGGATTTGGTAGAACGAGGAGAAGAAGGTTACATGGATGAAGTTAATGATCTCTTGGAGAAAGAAGATGATGAGGGAGGAGGACAAGGAGACCAGAAAGAGATCGGGATTGATGAAGGTTTGGAGGAAGGGTACAAGGGAGATGATGGTGATGATGGAGAATACTTGGAGGGCAAAAATGAGATCAACAATAATGCTCATAGTTTGAAGGAAGGTTATATGGGGGAACAAAATGAAAGTGAGGAAGAGGATTTGAAGAATGTTTCTAACCCATATGCATCATATGGAAGGGATTATTCTGAATGTAGTGTTGAGTATACCTGCACCATTTCTGCAGGTATAGTTCACAAATCTATCCTCTTCCATTTTGGCTTCAAACAAATTCATTCATGATATTATATGTTCCCTTTTGTGTGCAGAAGAAGAAATTGCAGGGAAGCAGGAGGGTTCTCTGGGATCACACGCAGCTGAACGCAGCAACGATGTCGAAACTAAAGAGAGTGCAGATGAACCATCCACTGAGGTCACACCTTCTGAAAACACTGGACATTATATTTTCTAGACTAGATTCGATCACTTTTTTCGGAGTAAACAACAACAATAGTTCAGTATAATCCATAGAGTAAAAACACGTAAATCCTTGTCCATCTGTCTTGAATGTGAGATAAAGTACGAATGAATGTGAAAATCAATATGAACAAATTTTGGTATGAGGCAAAAGTAGTAGGGCGGAGGGATTATTTTTTCAGCGTAAAAAACATAAATCCAAGTTTTTTTCATGTGCTTACATGATGTGTTAGGTTATGGCCATGATAAGTGAGGAGAAGATACGGGTTGAATTGGAGAGGGATCTTGCCGCCAAAGGTGTTAATGAAGAGCATTGTGAACGCGTGGATGGAGAGGGGAAGGTGATTGACATTGATGAGAATGTGGAGGAAGAAAGTTATGTGGAGGAATATCTAGAGAGTGAACACGGAGAGGGAGAAGATGTTGCCATTGATGAGGATTTGAGAAAGGGGTGTTATGTGGAGGAAGCTCGTGAATATTTGAAGGGAGAAGACGAGGAGAACATAAATGAGAATTTGGAGAAGAAGAAAGGTTGTGTGGAGAAGAAAGGTTATGAGGATGAAGAATGTGAGGAGGAGAAAGATGCCATTAATGTATATGAGAATTTGGAGAAGAAAGGTCATGAGAATGATGGTGGGAGATGCATTGAAGGAGAGCAAGGTGACACCAAAGGGATTAAAACTTGTTTGAAGTTGAAAGCGGAATACAATGTGGAGGACGACAGAGATGTGAATTTGGAGGAGGGGTATAAGGAGGGTGTCGACAAATACTTGGAGGGAGAGCAACGGGGATTTGAAGAGATCGTCCCCGTTGATGGGGATTTGATGGAAGGAGAAGGTTATATGGAGGGAGTTGATGAAGGAGAAGGCTTTGAAGACAAGGAATACTTGGAGGGAGGAGCACAAGGAGACCGAAAAGAAATTGCCATTGACGAAGGTTTGGAGGAAGGCTACGAGGGAGATGGTGGAGAATACTTGGAGGAAGAACAAGGTGGTGCCGCCATTGATTGGAATTTGGAAGATGGCGAACGCTCGGATGACAAAAACGAGACCAACAATGCTCGTATTTCGAAGGTTGAAGTTGAGCAAGAGTCACGTTGTGGCATTGGCGAAAGCCTCATACAAAAGGATGAGCCAAATACGAATGAGGAAGAGGATGTGGAAATGGACATTAGTGTAAAAGATGATGTCAATGCACAAGCAAGTGAGGAAAGTGTAGCCGAAACCGAGAAGCAAAGAAGCGTGGGAGAAGATTTGAAGAACGATTCTGCCCCGTTGGAATCCGGACGGAAATACGTATCAGATGGAACGGGTTCTGAACCTAGCAGTACTGATGACTATACATGCACCCTTGTTTCTATGGGTATGCTTCGCAACCCTCGCCCGATTCGGTTTCGAGAAGTTCATTCATGATATTATATGTCTCCCTCTTCTTCTTCTTCCTTTTTTTGTGCAGAAGAAGGAAATGTAGGGGAGCAGGAGGGTTCACTGGGATCTCACACACTGGAATGCAGCACCAGTATCATCAAAACTAAAGAGAGTGCAGAACCATCCAATGAGGTCCCTCACCCCTTTGAGAAAAAAAAACTTGTCGTTATATTTCGAGTAATGCTAGGGGTACACCGAAAGTGGACCCCATTTCTACGCCACTAGTCTCCCCACCTCACATTTCTTATCTAATTCGATCATGCTACGAACCCACCACGGGTATCCCCAATTATAGATGATTTATACATACGCACAGAATAATTACAACAAACCTATTTATTTTTTTGTCTGTGGTTAAATGATGTGTGTTAGGTTATGGGCACAATGAGTGAGGAGAAGATATGGGAACAAGTGAGTGCAATAAGGGCAATCTTGGGATACAAAGATGCAAAACAAAGATCCACTGTGGATGAGATAAAAGCTCTGTTTGTGTTCATTGGAGTTGAGCCACCATCACCATTTGATGACCCTTCACACCTCACAGATGTCTATCAGAAGCTTAAGATTTTGATGTCAATTGTGGGAACCAAATAGCCACTTAGCTGTGGACTTCAATTTTTTTTTTTTTATAAATTTTTTTTTCTTCTTTTTTTTGAGCTCTAGGGACATTTTGGTCACATCTGTACTATGGGTAGTAATTTTTTTTTCAATTATGTCTGGCATGGAAAATTTAAAAACTACTGTAGTACATTTGTGTAACTCATTTAATGTGTTTGGACTTTGGCATGGTAAATTCCTCTACGGTAGGGAAAAGTAATTTCTATGATTCTTTGAATTCTTGCGAAAATGACACTCTTGATAAGTTTTTTTTGGAACAGTTCAACAGTTTGAATTTGCTTATTTACAAAATTACATGGATTGAAAATTTCCAACTTTTTTGAGCATAGAACTTATTTTTCGGAAAAAAAAAACTTTCTGGAAAATATTTTTCACAAAAAGTACAGCCTCATGTGCAAGGTGAATACTTGTACAAGTATATGAATTTTCTTATCATTGACTAAAGGTCCATAGATCACCAAAGAGTATAAACAAATAAAAACTCACTACTCGGTGTTTCTCTGCACAAGCATATGAGTGCTTTTATTGTAGACTTAAGGTCCACGGTAGACCTCCATGCATATATAAACAAACAAAAAATACATACAATAATTTATTGCTGAATAAGAAGAATCGTAATTTCTTTTATTAACATTAACTTCATATATAAATTTACCTTTAAGAGTTTTTTTCATGCACTTTATGTTGGACAATGTGCCATCATATATATGAATGTTCGTTTGGTGTATTATTGGTTTTGATTGAGATTTTATCAAGAATGCTTCTGCGAAAAATCAGCCAGATCGTTTGCGATGCTTGTTCGTCTCAATTTAATTTTGTATTCATTTTTTATTATCATTTTTGTGGGATTCAACTGGGTTGTTGTTGTTGTTTTTATTATCATTTTAAAATTATGTAACTATTACATAGTCTTTTATATTTGTCGGATGTTAAATTTCTATACTATTGATACAAAAAACTTCGAAAAATATATTTAAAAAAAGAACTTTGAATATTATACTTCCTTAGTCTCAATTTAAATTGCTTGTTTCGATAATTAAGATGTCCTTCACTTGTGTGCATAAAAAAAGAGTCCGTATATGCATATAACCTCTTGTGGGCATAAGTTTATGCCCCCTAAACTTATATTGAAATGAGCTATACCAGATCCAGATCAAATGATCAATTACTCCTTTCGTCTATAATATTTTATACAGTTCGACTTTTACATAGTTTAAGAAAAATATTAAAAAATAAAAAGGTATGGTTAGAACTTGGTTAGAAGAGAAAAATATTGTGAGCGAGATATTCATCACTAAAAAGAAAATAGAGTGGAAGTTCTTTTGGACGTCCGAAAAGAAAAAGTGAGTAAAGTTTTTTGGAATAGAACGAGTATTATGCGTAACACCAATGACAATATTCCTTGTCTCCCATGAAACAAAGTGCATATTAATTACATTACCTGTTCTTTATAAAGGAAGGCAATGGATGTTGGGGAAATTAACGATAACTTGGATGAATCGAGAGTTGTGTAAACACTTTCAGATTGAATATTTTGATTGTTCGCTCCAAAATTCAATCGGATAAAACTCAAAAGTATCAAGAACGAAATATGAGAATTGCTATGAAAAATTCGAACGAAATTCGACCATGCCTCACAGGAATTTATATAGACTTGGGGTGAGAAGGAGAAGACACCATTAGTGGCCATTTACCCAAGGCACGCAACTCTTCGGCGGAAAAACCCCTTGGAAAACAACGCTATCCTTAGGAATTTTCTTTTAAAGAAAATTCGAAATACAAAATTCCAATTAAATTTTTTAACATAGCGCCTAGCCCAAAATAAAAAATTTTCGAGGTTGCCGACCCCAGCCAGGGGCTCTGCCCCTTGGACCCCGCAGGGGCCGCCGCCCCTTGAACCCTACTCGGGGGCGCTGCCCCGAACCCCCAATGTAACGAGATTTTTTATCGTAACAAACTCAATGAAACGTGCACTCCGCACCACCAAACTTCTTTTGATGATCATTGGTCGTAGTTTTTCCAATTACACTAAAATATATAACAATGGACTCGCCTTTCAACATCAACTCGGCTGCCTGCTTTCGTTTTCAGAATCAGAGGAATGTGAAAAACATCTTAACATAGAGACACAACAAGTGTTAGGACAGCGTGATGTTTTATTAGGCCGGGCATTGAGACGGCGTTGGGATTTGGGTGTGGCATTGTCCAAAGGAAAATGCTTGTAGAAAGCTTTCACGGCTCCTGTTGCCCCGTCCTCATTTTCCATGGCTTTTGCCAGTTCTGTTGCCCTCTCTTTAACCTGCAATGGCAAGAACTGACATATCAAACAGGCTCTCATAGTCATAAATAATACACTACGGTTCCTTTGACAACACAATTTGTTCTCATATTATTACAACAATGGCTGCGGTGCACCGTTCGAAAAAATTGACGGTTTCTACCCCCCTGCCCCCCCCCCTCCCCAAAACGCCGATTAGGTACGGGGGCTGCTAGGGTGGGGGCAGGGGGGTTTGAGGGGGTAGGAACTAGGAACCATCAATTTTCGAACGGAGCACCGTAGCTATTGTTATCATAATATGATAACAAAATCTGTTGTCAAAAGAAGGGGGCCGTATATAATAAAGTTCTTGCATTTTGCTCAAATACAAGTTTTGAAGGCAATGTGATATTTCGAGAGACAAATTCCACGTTCCAACTGTTTGAAAAATATTAATTTCTACAGTAAGGAGGCCTTTTCCACTCCAATGAAAGGGGAAAACCCCCCAACAAGACAGGTTAAGTTACCTTTGGGTCAAGCATGAATTGAATAGCAGATACCAGCTTTTCAAGTGAGAACTCGTCCACAGGGATGGGTGCAGGACCTACACCCCTAGCATGCACACGGTCGCCCCAAAAAGGTTGGTCCCCAAAGAAAGGCACAACAGTTGTTGGTTCCTGCACCACCATGATGCACCTGGACAATTTCACCACAAAATATAATTTAAATACTTGTGAAAAGAATTTTTCCTTGGACAAACTTATCTGCGCTGGGAGTGTACAATTTTAAAGTCATACAACCTTCTAAGAGAGGAAGGATTTAGGATTTACTCTTTAGTAAATCTACGGAGCATTACTTATGATTTTCCAAACTTAACCTTACAAGATAAAAAAAGGCATTGTCAAGTATAGGAAAAAGGATTAGAAACACATTGCATTAAATGTGTAGACAAAAAGCAGTTGGGTTATTTTGGTAAGATAAAAAAAGTTAAGATAAATATTAAAGTTTCACGCAAATTTTTCAATGGGTGTGATTTAAATAGAATAGACAGGTAAGTAGGATGGAGGGAGTAGACAGTGAAATAATTTTAGAGACGGGGGCTTACCACAGCAGCACACCTAACAAAAAGCCAGTCGTGAGGACAACTATCCACTACATAGACAAAGTCCTTTGGCTCTTTTACTGAGATTTGAAAAATACTTTATCAGAATCTCACTACTCCAAACTTCTTCATCTATAGCTAATAAATTCTTTCAGAGATGAAAGTCATATGCTTGTATGAGGCAATCAGCCACTTACATTTCCCCAGACCACCCCATCCTTCATTAATTATGCCTCTCTGGCCAGTCATCTCTAATGCCTGAACAATTATCTGTGTCATTCTTTCTGGTTCTTGAACAGGCTGCAAGAGGACAGGTCATATAAATATTTCATAAAAGAGTGCTACGTATCATTTTTCTAGAGTTATGTAAAGTAGTTATGTGGTACACCATACATCTGAAGAAAAATAACCCGTTATGCTAATACCTATTGCACTAGATTACGGAAATGTCATTTCTAGCTAGAAGAGACAAGATTTTAGCCATTCAGTATTGCTCTCTTGGAAATGCCAAGACAGTGAACTGGGTATACTAAATAAATAAAATCTTTGAAAATGTAAGCTGAGTACCTTAGTGTAATACAAAATTTTTAAGAGTACGAGTAACATAAGTAGTCAGCACCAACTTACAAGGCTGCCAAAGCCGATATATATGGGCTTTTGACCATCTTCAAGCCACTCTATAAGTGCTTTTGGCGGAGCATAACTAGAAGCAAGGTCAAGAAAACAAAAACCCACAACATCAATTTTGGGCCCCCAATCTGCAAAATATGGAGAAATAGACTTACTTATTGGTATAGGATACTACCACTGACAATGCATGTCAAATGCACATACTACATTCTGTGATCAAGCCCCTAATAGAAAAGCCTAGTATCCAGAAATGGAACAGATCACATAAATGGAACAAACCAGATCACTGTTTTTATGTGTGATATAACCCCATGGAATAATGAAATACAATACATTCAATTTTAGGAGACTCTAGAGCTCAGATTTATTTTGACCTGCTATGAACCAATATTCAAGTCATGTTCCATTATTTGCAGATAAGAATATCAAAACATGACAATAAAAATATCTCAACTCATCAAAGTTTCACGATACTCTCCATCATGTGGAAATGATGGATGATGATGGTTTTAGAATTTTCATCTCATTTTTTCTTCTAATAAAAGTTGCTATAGGAAAGACATCAAGCATAAAAATGTGCCACTGTTTTTTTCATAAACTAACAGTATTTGTTAATTTATACGACTAATTCACACAATAAGTTTAATGCCTTCGACCTCCATTTGTTGGGATTAAGGTGCTGATAATGATGGTGGTCAACTAACATTTACACATGTGCCATCAATGAAAAATCTTCTTAGTATTCATTTGCAACAATGTTATGGTGTGTATAAGTCTCATTTAAGCAAGCTAACAAATTTTTAACAGAGATTGAGAAATGACCTTTGGGTTTTGGAACAAGGTGTGGACTCCAGATATACCCATATGGAATGTCGGGAGATGGCCAGTAAGAGTCACTCAAATATGTAATTGGCCTTAGTTTCAATTTTTTCTTTCTGAAGCTATTGATCACATCCCGCATTCCGACCCAAATTAATCCGCCGACCATTTGGTATGACAACTTCAAAAAAAACTTAAATGTTATCAAATAAACAATATAGTGGGACAAAATGTATCAAAGTTAGGGTATTTTTTAGAGGAAGAAGAGATCATAAAAGCACAGACTTTGTAGGCAACTGGCTGTGAAGCACGATAGAGAGGGTGTGGGAATTCACTTGTAGGCCTGCAAGAGGGCACAGTAAAAAACTAAATATGATAAGAAAATCATACAAGTATTAGTAAATAGAAGCATAAGATGCCACTTTGTTTATTTACTCATAAAAAACACCTAAGAGGCTAAGACTAACCAATTTTGATAAGTATCACTAAATACTGAGTCGCACCAATGAAGAAAACCTCAAGTAAAGAAAACACTTACGTCCACGGCATTGTGAAAAATATATGCAATGGTACCTCCAATGCTTCCGCAACATCAGTATGCCCTGAAATAAACAAGTCATACACAGAGACATGCTTCTGCAACATCAGCATATGATTATATTCTTACCATATGCTGGAGGGTTGGCAATGATGGCATCTACATCGAATGGAACTTTCGTTACTTGATCAGGCTCTACACACGCAGGGAGCAAGGATGATACAATATCTTTTATTTGCTTGCGTTGAATGTGTATTTCAGAAGGCCCAGATGGCAAGAAACCTTTATTTCTTACCATATCTGCATACACGAGGAAATTAAATTAACTTCTGTTGATTGAATATTTGAATATGAATTCAACAACACTCAGATTACTTCTGATCACAGATAAAAGAAAGAACGAAAGTGATTTACTGCCGTAAAGGAAAGATAAGCAAAACCACAAGAAACTACAGCCAGACACTACTTGGCGGGACGCCATTTTTTCCCTGAAAATCAGTGGGGCTGAAACTACAACCGTATAGGCCACTATCTTTTACCAAATCTCGGGATCACAAACTCTCCCCTAAATATTTTGGGCCTTTACATGTTCTCAAGAACATTGGTCCAGTGGCTAACAAATTGGAGCTTCCACATGACTCCAAGTTGCACGAGGCCTTTCATGTCTCTACTCTTAAGGAGTTTTGGGATACTCCTTCCCTAAGTTCCCTTGCTAAACTGATGCTACATTGTGTGGGGAAGGCGAACCGATGATCATGGAAGGTCAAATAAATTGGGGGCCACACCAAACTGTTACTCAGATGGGAGAGTTTGAGCTCCGATGATGCGCCATGGAACACGTGGGCACATGGCGGATTTTATACAAGCCTAATATCCCAGCTTTAGCTTGAGGTCAAGCTTGTTGCCTAAGAAGGTAGTAATAATATGCCCATAATTACATAACACTTCAGGAAAGGAAAGGCAAGCAAAGCTAAATTTGGAAACAAAAACTTGGCAGCTTTGGAAAAAAATGTTATTCATTAGCATTAATGAGAATCCTTTAATGTTGTCAATTACTTGGGGATTACCAAATCACTTGGATGATTTTCCTAGTTTAATTAAATGTAATATCCTATATATTTTAATAAATTACATTCCTCAAATACACCACGTTCGAAAGTTGATTGAATTAAGATGTCTGATTCTTGATTTAAGGATTACTCTCAAAAGCCCATATATCTCTCCCCCTCTCCCACCATCAGTAAAAAGAGAACTTTTTACAAACCACCCCACAATTAATCCACCACGGAACATCTAGCACCTGTGATGAGGTTATTTGCAAATGTACACAATAGAAAGATGAAAAACAATGAAGCATGTGTTGTCCAAAATCACAAACAACGCTGTTGATGGAACACTTCACAAATAAAAACAATCAATTAACTTATAAAACCAACTTCCAATTGTTATGAGTTATGACTTCCAAACAACGGCAGTGAAACAGGAACTGACTCTACTTTATTTGGGCTGGAGGGTGGAGGAGTAGTGGGGGGTTCCGCAAACACCATTAAAAGCAGTGGTATATTTTTCGCTTAAGTACCACAAAATCCAAGCCATATGTATATAATGATTACATGTTTCCAATCATAAAACAAAACAGATAAAAACATTATGGAGAAAAGTAGTTCACAAAAGAGTGAAAAAAAATTAGGTGGAAACAAAAAGGTAGCTCCAATCGAAGTACATATATTTTCTCCCGCTACAAAGAAAAGCATATTTGTGAGTGTGTCTGTAACATATTAGTTCTATGTACGGAGTATAACTCAAAATAAATGAGCTACAATACAATAGTGAAAAGATTAATAATAATAATAATAATAATAATAATAATAATAATAATAATAATAATAATAATAATTCAAACTTACAAGAAGCAAGGACATGTGGATCTCCACCAAGAGGATAAAACTCCAACCCAGCACCCAAGACAAACTTTTTAAAATGGGAATGGGTAGCTAACCTCACCCTGTGACCATCCTCCTGCCAGGTGGGAAAGTAGCGAAGAAAATAATAACATGATTGTGTGCCTCTGTTTTTATTTTTACCTTTGTATGTGTTAATTTCTAGAGAAGATAATTGAAAGGATGCAAAAGACGATGAGAAGAAACCTTCTTATTAATCAATGACTTGGAGTATGCACAACCACGTCGATTGAATAATGAAGAACAAATTGCTTAGAAAACAAAGATATGTGTTCTTTCATCATTTTACCCTCTTCAGGGTCCTTTAAAAATGTATATATATGTCTTTATACACAACAATAGAGCAGAGGGGATGGGACTTCTTCCAGACAGAAACTTTATTCTAAAATCAGAATACCATTAAAACTTAAAAGGGGTTGGTTTCTAATCAATGTGATAGAATAACAGTACTAAACCAAAGTGACAATGATATCCAGTTCTTGCATCGAGGATCAATCAAGCTTAGGATGCGGCGATGGGCACTGTTGAAATATTAGGGGTGGTGTATACCTTACAACACATTCACACACACCACCTTCCTACCACCTTTTTTAGCCATCTCGTCCACGTATGTAATGGTATGTTCCTTTTCATTGGTAATTAAAATTAAGTAATATTATCATAAGTAATAGATTCTTAATACCATCTCACTTAAATCTAGTTTCTCTTATAATGTTTCCGCAATTTAGTGGGTTGTGGTGGTCTAACCCCCCCTGCTAGCCTCCTAATAATTAATATGATAACATACTATAATGTTTCAGTCATCATTCTATAACTTCCTTCCCACGGTTCCAGGTAAAGGTCAGAACCCATTATCTTCACGTGCAAGTAGCCCCTTGAGAAAATCCAAAAATCAAGTTGAAAAAACTATTTACAGGTTAGAAAAAAAACAAAGCTTCATGATGAGCATTGAGATGCATCCCTTCCATATTTGTTGAAATTCCTGTGGGCCGAGAACAAAAGGCAAAGTGCCGGGTAAAGTTAACCACGCCCACTAGAATTTCAACAATATTATATATCACTTGACTACTTGCAGACTATTAAACTCAATTAATCCGTCACCAGACGCTACAACATAGTTATAAGAATACCAAGAGAGTGTTTGATGTGGCGATGTGCATGGATTTTGTATATATATGTATTGCAAGTTGCACATACGATTGGAGTGGAAAGCCATAGTACCGAGGTGTAGCAGTATAAGTTGAAACAGAAACAATCAAGGGATGGTTTGGATGCTTGATTTTACAATGATGGTGCTAAAGAGAAAGTGTTGTCGCTGTCAATGAAGCTAAGAGTGTCGACAATGTTTTTGCTTCGTATAAAGATGCACTAAATCACAATGGTAAGTATTCTTTGCTTCCTACTTTATTAAATTTTGGGTAGTATATGCAGCAATGCATGAAGGGTCTACCTTAACCAAACCCTCTCTTTTTCACATAGATAAGACTACACACATCTTGATGCAGACCCCAATGTTGCTGAGATTGTTCTGGGTTTTGTTGTTGCTGACCCAAAAGAGAAAGTGACTTATGATCTCTAACTAGGCTTGATGTCTACTAAACATGTGTTTAGTTTCACTTGTATTGTGGAAAAGTACATTTCCATGTCAACCACTAGATGTTTTAGTTCCAAAAAAAGCATAGTTTGTAAATTAATGAAGTGTTTATTGGTGTTAATACGCACATTAGATTCATAACTGCAGAAGATAAAGTCAAACAGCCGTGTCCAGAAAGGGTCTTAGACTGTAAAGTCATGATATAAGCATCAATATATAAATGGATATCCCTAATAAAGTCTTCACCTGCAATTTTTTCCCAATGGCAACAAAGGGTTGTACATCTCCTCTGGTTCCAACTATTAGCATAGCAATTTGCATTGGAGGTACGTTTTGAATACCTGATGTAGTAGCAGCTTCATCCATAGGCCCGTCGTAAGCAATTCCTGTACCAAATTCAACGCATTCAAGACTAATATACTCGTGGAAGTCCAATTTGTATGGATCCATCTTGTTGAATGGGACCTAACCGTTTCAGCAATTGGAGCTGCCAAAGCTCATATTTATTACTTGAAAATACTTGCAGATGCATTTCATTATTACATGACTCAATATTACTTCATATAAAATGTCAAACAAAGTTTTTAATGGCTTAAGGCCCCATGAATCACCTTCAAATCTCTAAATTAATCATTTTGAAAGATGAATAACTACTTAACTGTTACTTTTCAACAACACAA